GCAATATTCCGTAATATATTGGTCTATTATTGCTCAATATATTGACTTGATATGAATAAATACTTTGTAAATTTGTGAAGTATATGTTTTACATATATAGTACAGTGGCTGCAAAACAAAAAGGTGAATAATCCGACCGTCGATATATCGAGTAACATATTGGGCTAGCTAGCTATATCTAGTAATGTATCGTGTTAGCTATATCGCCCGATAGTAAATAACCTAATTCGAATTGCTAGCTAGCTATATCGGGTAGTATATTGAGTTAGCTAGCTAGATCGCCCGATAGTCGATATTTTTTTTCTGCTTGGGTATCACTACCTAACAATTTTTATCGGAAATGGTTCAAAGTAATAAAAAATTGTTATTTCACCATCTTTATCATCAATCAGAAAATGTTTTTTCCCAGCTCACAATTGAAGCGTGGAGAAAGAGAGTAGCTTTTTTATGACTCATAAATGTTTTTCCTCACCTCCATATTGAAGCGTGGAGAAAGAGAGTAGCTTGTTTATGACTCATAAATACAAATATTTCTCTCATAATTCTATTCAAATAGAAGTGAATATAACAGAGTAAATGTTTAACAAAATATGGTTAAAAAAGGTATATGAAAACGTAAGTGAATTTTCACTGAGTTATATACATACTTTAATTCTTTTAAGATTTATTCTTCAAAAGCATGGGAATTAAAATGAAAGTTTGTTTTCTGTAAAGCTCGCCAGCTCAAAAAAGTTAATTTCAAAATAAAAGTGTATATTTTAACTGAAGATCAACAGGCGTGTTCTGCCAGAAAGTTAGTATAAACTATCTTGAGAATGGCTGAACGTATCGAGCTGTCCTCTGGTTCTTAAGGATTTTCTGACACGCTCGTTCTTTTTGTCTCTAGAAAGTTTTTCCCAAAAGCTTTGGAAGTACGTCTTCTAGAAAATCGTGGTTTTTCAGCTATAGGTGTCGAAAAAACAGAGATTTGTAAAATACTAGGCGTTATCAAAATCTTTTCAATATGATATTCGGATTTAGCATGAAGAGACGACCATTTTAAAAATAAATTCAAGTCTCTAACACAAAATCTAGATTTATAAATTGGTTTTCAAATTTTAAAAACTTTATTTTTTTTAAAAGTTAAAATAACTCAAGATGGGTAAGTCTTATAAAGCTGGTTTAAACGTCAATCGATAGGGAATTTGAAACTAAACAAACGTAGGGGTTTGACAATATTCATATACAAGGTGATCTTGGCTTTCTAGAGGGTCTTTAGAAAACCCTTTCTCTAAATTAGCCTATATTCCAATTTTTTTGAGTTTTAAGCTTTCTTATTGAACTTTTTATGGTTTCTAGAATTATAAAATAATTAATTGTGCCATTCACCCTTTACTTTATAACAAGACGAGAGTATTTTTTTTGTGATTTATATTATGCCTACTAATTGTATAGTTGTTGGTTGTCGAAAAAAGTTCGGTGACGTTGGCAAAGGCCGACGCAAAGTTGCCTTGTTTCGCCTGCCAACTGATCCTATAGTATTACAAAAATGGTGTGATATTTTGTCTCTCAATTTTAATGATCTTAGTATGACAAAATCAGAACGTGTATGTAGTGAACATCTCTCCACTGGGGCTAAACTTCGGCAATAAACGTATATCAGACATGTTTTGTTACGATACAATTTAGAAATGAATGATATATCGATAAGAAGAATAAATGTTTGCAATGCAAACTTTGCACTAATATACAACAGAAAAGAATGTGATAATGCCCGCGGGCCGCTGTGCGAACTGCATTCTCCCTTCTCTCTTCCATGTTTGACGAGCACCTGTATCTGTACGGCTGTAGAAATCGTCCAGGCATCCCATAGACATCGTCTCTGTGAGTAAAAAGAAGAGAAATATTAGAATAGCCGTATAGTATATGCGTAAAATGGACTGAAGTATGTTCATAGAAATCTTAAAAGCATTTTCAGTAGTCAAATATCATATTTTAATTATTTATAATTCTAGAAACCATAAAAAGTTCAATAAGAAAGCTTAAAACTCAAAAAAGTTGGAATATAAGCTAAATAAGAGAAAGGGTTTTCTAAAGACCCTCTAGAAAGCCAAGATCACCTTGTATATGAATATTGTCAAACCCCTACGTTTGTTTAGTTATCAAATTCCCTATCGATTGACGTTTAAACCAGCTTTATAACGCTTACCCATCATGAGTTATTTCAACTTTTAAAAAAAATGAAGTTTTTAAAATTTGAAAACCAGTTTACAAATCTAGATTTTGTGTTAGAGATTTGAATTTATTCTTAAAATGTTGGTCTCTCCATGCTGAATCCGAATATCATATTGAAAAGATTTTGATAACGCCTAGTATTTTACAAATCTCTGTTTTTTCGACACCTATAGCTGAAAAACCACGATTTTCTAGAAACCGTACTTCCAAAGCTTTTGGGGAAAACTTTCTAGAGACAAAAAGAACGAGCGTGTCAGAAAATCCTTAAGAACCAGAGGACAGCTCGATACGTTCAGCCATTCTCAAGATAGTTTTCTCATGGAACACGCCTATTAATTTTATTCTACCGCTAAAGAATACACTGCAGAGTTATTCTTCAGACCTGATGCAGCGTCGCCCATTAGTGTGAATCAGTGTCCCTATTAGTGTAATTATTACATTTGGGCAAGCCAAGTCAAGTCATTTGTGACTTGATCTAACTTGAAAATTGTTTTAAAAGACTTGACTTGTGACTTGGAATAAAATATCAAGTCAAGTCATGCATATTTTTAAACCTCTTATGCAATCTAATTTTAAATAATTAGGCATAATGATTTGGGAATGTTGATATTATAATATGTAAGAATTTACACATGATAACAAGGCGCGTATTTTGCAATAGCATAGCAAGTCTGTGTTCTAATACCAAGGAATGGAGACTCTTTTATGCCAGTTTTATTGGCAGTTACATCATCAGTATCACCACGTGGCACGTGCCCTAATGATTCATAGTTATTGCATCGTCTTAGGCCACATTGAATTTATCTCAGTTTCACTTCTCATTTTCTAATTCAACTTGTGAAAAGTGTATGACCGAACTAAAGAGTCCGAATTTTAAGAACCGTCATCTGATGTCTCATAATTATCTACCACCATACCACCGCCCCAACAAAAAGCCGACGCTGATAGAAAACCTGTAATTTGTCTTCACTTTGGGCATTTTTCTACAGAAAAAAATTTCAAGTCATAACTTGTGACTTGACTTGGAAAAACCCGAGACTGACTTGATCTGACTGCAGAAAATTTTTGATGATTTGACTTGACTTGTGACTTAAAAACACTCTTGACTTGCCCAGCTGTGATGTAATAATGTGTCTTACATGGAATAAACGTTATTTATTTATTCATTTCTTCTCACTCTCTGATGAAAGCGATAAAAAAAGAAAAGTGCATGAAGATTCCAATATAAAAGATTCTTGTATATAAAATTATACGTAACTATTTATTTCAATATCGTTAAACGAAATCGATGATTGTCATTATTATGCAGAATGAAAAGAAATTTTGTAAGCTTCCATGAATCAATCATTCAGTCATCTTTTTCCTTTCGCATCTTTTTGTATTTTTTCATTTGTCATTCTCTTCCTCATTTCAATATTTCATCATCATTGTTTTCTGTTTACTTGATTGTTAATGATCCTCACCTTCGGTTAGATCATATCATCACATCTGCTATTCTTCTTATAAACATGCATATATATACTTTTGCGCGTTATTCTCTATGTTCTGAGATTTTCCCCATATGTAACTTTCTATTGATGCTTTTTGATTTTTTTTCCGTTTTTTATGAAACATAGTATATTCAAAATTATAGAAAAGAATTTAAGTAAAATGATTTTACAAACAGCGAGCTTTCGACACTAGTGTCAAGTGTCGAAAGCTCGCTGTTTGTAAAATCATTTTACTTAAATTCTTTTCTATAATTTTGAATATATTATGTAACTTTCTCTATTCTGTTTCTTTCCTTTCTGTTGAATGATGGGTTTTCTCCCAATTCTGTCTGGGCAATTTCCTTTAACTCTGACATTACCATATCAAATGCATTGTTAATAAACCTATATATAGTTGCTGATTTTTTACAATAAAGTGTGTAGTGTGGTATACAGAAATAAAGTCAAGTGGGATCTGCACCACACAGTTTAGTTATATAAATTTATACCGTCATTATCATTAAAAATATAGGAAAAAGTGGTTCATAAAACATGTATTTTTCACAAATTGTAGTTATTCCATCATATGCAGCAGTTTTCATTTATTTTTAGAATTTGCGGCGAAAATGCCCCTAATAAGTAAATTAGAACAATTACCAAATGAATTCTTTTATGATGTTTTTGATTACTTAAATGGTTATCAAATTTTTAACGCATTTTATTATCTTAATCGACGTTTTAATTTTTTGCTTGAAAATTACTCCTATTCATTTAAAAGTACAACGTTTTATGAATTTATTTATTTTCGTAATGAAATCCTTCCTCATATTAAATTACAACAATTGCAAGTACTAAAAGTAGCGGATGATGAAGATGACAGGGTAATTGATCAATTAAATCGTTTATTATCGAGAAAAAATATCAAAAAGTTAACTAATTTACAAAGACTTCACATTATACCCTCATATACTTTTAATGAACAAAATTTACTATCTACGATTCAAAAAATATCACAATTAGAAAGCCTAACTCATTTAACAATTGGCACAAAATCCTATGATTCCCTAGATAAAATTCGTATTTGTGAATTAGCACTGACTTTAACAAAATTAAAATATTTGTCATTGACATTTGGTGATAGAACAAAATTTTCCTTATATGATCACCTTTCACCACAAATATATCTAAATGAAAAACGATCATCAGTTGAATGTTTGATGATAAATGTAGTCATATCTATTCATGATTTAAAGACATTATTTATCAATATGCCAAAATTAAAATACTTGAGGATAAATTTAAAGAAATCGAATTATGATCAGAAATGGACTAACGAACTACAACAACAACCATTTGTTCCTCAACTGGAAGAAATCGAATTACATTTAAATTATAACATTGATGTTAATCAAATTATTTCATTGTTGACAGAATCAACAGCAAGAAATTTGAAAACGATAATAATAATTATTAATTATGAATCTTTATATGATGTTGATGAAATATTAATAGAAACATTATTTCGATCGACATTTCCATTATTAAAAACATTTAAAATGAAATTTACACAAAGTACTTCTTATCGTTCTCTGCTTCTGGATTATTATTATAAAGTAAGTTACTCATCGACTGTTAATTTTCCACTCTTTGATATCCCAAACTCGTCTGACAACATCTATTCGACAGTTATTAAGTCCATATTTGTTTTTTTATCGTCGAACAATCTTTAAGAAGAAGGAAACGAAAAATAACGCACAGATCAATTAAAGTGTCACAGTAATGCCCGATATGTCGAAAATTGAGATATCTAAAAATTGCTCGAGATACTAATTAGAGTTGTCTGTTTACTATTACTTTACTATTAACAAGTAACAAAAATTGTTACTTGTTACTAGTAATTAGTAACAACAGATGCTAGTTTGTTACTTTGGGTAAAGTAACAAGGAACAATCTCTTAGCAGATATTTCTGCTAGTCGACTCCTTAAGTAAGGTTTTATGAGGGTGAAATACTTGCTAAAAGGTGGTGAAACGTCTGATAAAGAAGTATCTGAAATATACCCCTGGAAAGCAAAAGCTGGATTCAGTATTTAAGCTCTTTTGATACAATCAAAGGATTTTTTGAGAAAAGTGAACATGAAGATGCCCTCAAGACCAGATTCCCAAACGCCTATATTTTTCACCATCACTAGTCCTCTGGCTTTTTTGCTCTTAAAAGTATATAGATTCATAGAGAATTTGAAGCACTATCAGAATCTATAATTACAATTTATCTTTGCACTAATAATAGCGTTGAAATAAACAGAAAAGTCTTGCTAAAACAGCCAATTTTTTTTGGTTTCTCAAAGAGGTTAATCAAAGAGGTTGGATTATTCTTCCGCACATAAAAGCAAGGAAAGACTAAAGTATATAGATTGATAGAGAATTTCAAGCACTGTCAGAATCTATAATTTTCTTTCTTAAAAACTTATTACTATAGTGGCTGAATTTCGAAAAAAGGAGAAAAAATGGATTTTTGGTTTTTGTCAACTACAATATGCTCACTGAGCACTCGAATTTTTTTTAATTGATAGATGTTAGAAAATAAGTTAATATACAGGATTATAGAGAATTTCCAGGGCTATCAGAATATCTACTTACTTTTCCAAAAGACCACTGCTTAAGACATAATCTATCTGAAGTATTAATTGGAAAAACGGTGAAAAGTACAGGCGTGTGGGAATCTCGTCTTGAGGGTATCTTCATTTCACTCGATTTATTTTTCAATATATGAAGTCAAGATAAAATCGAAATACACAGTTTTGTACAGAATTTCACGCGCTATCTAATGGTATGTTCACTTTTCTCAAAACATCCTTTTATGGTATCAAAAGAGCTCAAATACTGAATCCAGCTTTTGCTTTCCAGGGGTATATTTTTAGCTATAAATCACTGCTAAGGGAAGAGTCATAACTAGGGGTATGACAGTTCCATATCAGCTCCTATCATAGGAACTGCTGAAAAGTTCTTTTGAAAGGAGCTGATATGTTTGAACAGCTCTTTTGAAAGGAGCTGATATGTTTGAACAGCTCTTTTGAAAGGAGCTGATATGTTTGAACAGCTCTTTTGAAAGGAGCTGATATGTTTGAACAGCTCTTTGAAAGGAGCTGATATGTTTGAACAGCTCTTTTGAAAGGAGCTGATATGTTGGAACAGCTCTTTGAAAGGAGCTGATATGTTTGAACAGCTCTTTTGAAAGGAGCTGATATGTTGGAACAGCTCTTTGAAAGGAGCTGATATGTTTGAACAGCTCTTTTGAAATTTTAAAAATTGAAATTTTTTGAAATTTTTTCAACAACTACTGCTGAAGCTTTCAGAAGCAAGAGCTTGCTCAACTCGAAGCACTGGGCGCTCCTGAAGTCCAGGAGTCCAAGAGCAAAGTGTTCTTTTTTGGGAATCACTTCCCAAAAAATGAACAGAAGAGCAAGCTCTTGCTTCAGCGT